ATCTGGGTCGTCGTTAGCGAGTTTCTCTCGTGTGGCGTTGTATCCTTCTCCCTGATCATGATCATCCGTGAAGGCCAATCGTTCTCTAGTGCTAAGCGATTCGTCGGGCGAGTTATCATACATGAATGTGGTCTCTTCCAAGCATCCATCGCTTCCATCTTGGACGCTCCTATCGGCACGTTGTCGCGGCTCGTATTTCGTTCGCTCTTCTCCTTCTTCGAAACGTTCTTCGTTTCGTTCGTGGTTTGCTATTGACTTCTTCTCTTCTTCCAGTTCATCTTCTGCTCTGTCGTGTGAAGACATACCTTCAGGTTGGTCCCTCATTTCCTTTCGATTTTCCTTGAGATCCTGCGCAACTAATTCCTCAGTTTCTTCTGGTTGGCTCAATATCCTGTTCCCGTCATCATTTCCCTTACCATCTTGATTTTCCACGAATTTGTCATCACCACAATATTTCTCTGTCGTTCCTCCTGGGTATTTTCTCGTGTCCTTCCGTGCAGTTAGTGTCTCGTCGGTGAGTTCTAGTGTTACGTTCGTTTGTTTTGTCATCCTTTCATTGTCCTCTCTGTTTAGTCTCATGTCATCGGTGCCCGTCGGAGCTTTGTTATAGGTGAAATCCTGGGTTTCGTCTGTGGTTCCTGACATTCTGTCACCTTTCTTCCTCGGGATCTCGACAGTGGCAACCGTCAAGATTTTGTCACAGATAGGTCTCGATAGTTCATTCGAGGTTCTGATTGGCACATCCTTATTAGGATACTTGCGTAGGGTCCTTTCTTCTCTATGCAGGTCGTATAGTTCTTTGTCACGGCGCTCTTCGTTGTCTATGGCACCTAGGTCTTCCGGCTTTCCTTCATCCTCACAGAATTGCGCTTTGTTTACCTCCGATGATTCTTGGGGGACATCGTCCTTTCTCGGACAATTCACGGCGTCGTAGTCTCTTTCTCTTGAGTCTCTACAACCCTTATCTCTTATTTTCGTCGGTGCTTCTGATCTAGACACATTTCCTTCGTCGCGATCAGCAGGTACTTTAAGTTTTATCTCTATCTCCTGTGTCTGCTTCCCTAATCCTTCGATGCACGCTCGTAGTTCCTTTATCTCGTTGGCTTCCTGTTCGATCCTTATCGCTTCCTTGAGCGCCTCCTTTGGCGTGGATGCATTTCTAACGGCGGGCAACGATAGTATGTTGTTCCTCAGTCCGACCACCAGCAACCATCTTGCCACTTCTCTAGAGTAATCGCCCTTAGGATAAAGCTTCTTGAGTAGTTTTCTAAACCTCTGGACGTACTCGGTTACTGCTTCGCCCTTCCTCTGCTCAAAATTCTCTAATTCCGACTGCCATTGGCGCTGTTGCTCCAGCAACGTAAAATGCCGCAAGAAGGTCGGCACGAAGCTCTCCTCGTCGTTACTCTTGTTCCAATAAATAAACCAATCACAATTTCCTTTATACCATTCTTTAGCAATTCCTCCCAGGTAACTGCCTATTCTTCTCAGTTTCTCGTTATCTAGCCAACCGTTGAATTCGGCGACCTTTTCGTAACATTCCAACCAACGGTGTGGGTCTTCTCCGGCTTCTCCCTCAAAGTGTCGTAACCTAACCCGGTGGATCTCCTTCTCTGGCGTCACTGCTTTTAGGTTTTCTTGGTCGTCGAGGGTACGTGTCAGCTTTTTCAAGACATCTAGTTGTCGAAAGAGGTCAGAAACTGCGTTATTACTCAAATTTTGATTCATCGTCGTCACATAAGTAATGTTACTGATTTTCGAAATTTCTATTCATTTAATTAGGTTTCAATCGGCAATTTTCTCTCGTCGTGCCTTGGACGGTCTGGTGTGTATCTCTATTTCTTTCTCGTAGGCGGTTTTCTCTCGTCGTGCTTTGGACGGTTCTCAAAAATATTGGGGGGAGGGGGGGGTAACCGGATGTCGTCCTTGTACGAATCTCACAGTCACCACCAAAAATGTAGCGGTGTAACGGCGAGTCAGTCGCTAACCCTAGCAGAGATTCGCGTAACCGTTACTGGGGTAATAAATGAATG